CCACCGGGCCGGCCCCATAACCACAGCTATTTTACATTTGCAAACACATTGCTTTTATTTTCAAAACTGACAATGCATGGTTTAATGAAAATATATATCCACTTGCTTTGGTTTTCTTTTTTTGTTTGTTTTTTTATCATATTACTGTAGACAGTACTGCCCAATACAGTAGCCACTAGCATCTACGTGTGGCTGCTGAGCATCTGAAATGTGGCTAGTCCAAATTGAGATGTGCTATCAGTGTAAAATACACAAAATTTCAAAGACCTAGTACAAGAAAAAAAACTAACGTAAAAATATTTTAATTTAAATGATAATATTTTGGGTATATGGGGTAAATTAAATCACAATTATAATTAATTTTACCTGTTTCCTCTTTACTTTTTAAAATTTGGCTACCAGAAAGTTTAAATTACTTATTTGGCTCATATATTTCTACTGAACAGCACTGTCCTAGAGCTCCTGCTATATTTTTTATTTACTCTATTCTAGTTGCAGCTCAGGCAGCTCTGACATATCTACATTTCTAAAGTTCATATGTCAGGCTTTAATATGTCAGGCTTTAATGGAACTCTCCTGTTCTTTCACCTATAATAAGATCAAATGCATGGCAAGGGAATCCATTACATAAGTAGACAAAAGTTACATGTTTAACTTTTATATGTGTCCCTTAACTATGGGGATATATTCTGAGAAACGCATTGTTTGGTGATTTCATCATTCTGCAGAAGTGTATTATGAAAGGGAACAACAATAAGTTTTCCTATTATCTACACTGGCCACTAGTTGCATGACTGTGTGCCCTCTAATTATGTTACTACGTCTCTCTCTGCCTCATTTTCCTCATCTGTTAAACGGGGATTAGAATAATACCAAACCCACAAAGTTAGCTAACTGTTATCATTAACTATGATTTTGCTATAGTGATGGGTGGGAATCATTTTAAAATGCAAGAATTCTAAAGTACACAACAATCCTTTCACTTGGGGTCAGACCTAATGTGTCAAATGCCTGGCTTTCTATCTTAAAGGTATGAGCTACCTTTGGGATGGTCACCCAGTGAGTAAGCTAAGCAGTCCTCCTTAACATATTTGGCAGTATGTTTGTTTACAGCAGCATTACCACAAACACGTGAGTAATGTGTTAATATAACGCAGGCTATGAGGTCACTAGTCAACAGGAATTTTTCGGCTCCATTGTAATCTTATGGGACCATTGTAGTACATGCGGTCTCCATCGCTGACCAAAACATCCTTATATGGCACATGACTATATATATTAAGCTACCTTTTTTACATTGTAAAAGAAATACATAACCATAAAATTTTTGAAAATAAAGGAAACTGCGAAGAAGAATATCCCCTCACGCAAAGATAAACTTTATTAGTATACTTTGGCATATTCTCTTTCAGTGTTTTGTCTTTCCAACTGCACATTTACATTTTTTAAAAAGCAAATTGAAGGTCATACTGTGCCCACAGTTTATTTTCTTCTTTAAAATTTTTAACATTATGTTGTGTCTTCAAT